TTTGTAATTGCTGCGTGACACTATGTCCTCCACAGATAGAGCAGATAAAGTCCAGAAAAATGTTTTTACTCCTTCTAAAAAGCGACTGAAGAAAGGACATTTGGTCATCCGTACTAAAGAAATGGTTCTTAATATTTATAAGCATTAAATTTTATAGAACCCTGATATGTTGGTACATGATGTTGAAAGGAGAGCTGTTGATAAAACAGGGATGTGCGCTAAAACCGTTTTTAATGTTATGAAGGAGTATAGGCAGATTCATAAATTTTCTGAACCAAAAAAAAAGCTACGTTATAAACAAATTAGTGGTCTGTAGATGATTTTGATAAAAATGCAATAAGGCGCAAAGTACATCAATTCTTCTTTAGAAATTAACTTCCAACAATTGATAAGGTTTTATAAGAAGTCAACGATGATCCATATTTGTCTACTTTTAAGCGAGCTACATTTTACAAGCTTTTCAAAACCCTTAATTTTAAATTTAAAACTCGAGGAAAAAATAGTTTGCTTTTAGACAAAACTAAAATTGTTTCGTCCTACGCCACAAAACATAAAACGATACAGAGAAGAAAAGCAAAAAATATATTATCTTGATGAGACTTGATGAGAAAGTATGTTTCGATATGTCGGTTTTTTCATCCAGACAAGCCTTCTTGGATGAACTATTAACTGGTTATAAAAACACATTAGGTATGTGCGTAAAAACAGCTCATTATATGCCATATTGGAAGTGAAGAAGGCTTTGTCTCTAATGCACTTTATGTATTTGAGTTGAAAAATCCAGTGACTACCATGAAGAAATGTGTGGAGAATCGTTCAAAGAGTGGTTTTCAAACACTCTACCAAAATTAGAAGATAACTGCATTATTATTCGAGAAAGCTGAAGAGAGAAGCTAAAAATAGCTATAAGGGAAAAAAATTGAATTCGACTACCAAATGCTTAAAATTTAACTTCTAAATCTTGGTAAGCAACATAAACATTATGATAGGTATGTAATAGATGAAATGGCTAAGCAGCAAAACAACATAATACTTCACATGTCTCCGTATCATTGTGAACTTAACCCTATTGAATTAATCTAGGTTGACGTTAAACAATACGTAGCAGATAAAAACTCAACATTTAAATCTGGAGACATTAAAATTCTTTTTGAAGAAGTAATATTATTAATTTCTCTAGAAAAATGGAAAAAGTGTATCGACCATGTTCGCCAAAAAGTTGAAGTAAAAATGTGGGAGTTGGATAATATTATAGAGGTTCAGGTAGAACCACTTGTAATTTTGATTAATGAAGATAGCTTTTCAAGTCTAACTAATTTATCCGATTTAGAATAGTGCTAAGTCAAGTAAGGAAGATTGCTATAATACAGGGTACAAGTTGTCTAATCTAAATACTAGTAGAACAAGAACAATAAAGAACAAAAGTTATCAAAAATACAAAAGGTTTCTTTTTAAGATGCACAATTTTAAATCAAATACCAAATTCAAATACCAACTACCTCTTATATTTAAAGTTTTTTTAATGATTTTAGTAGATATATATTAGCTATAAAGTATTTGCAATTATTTGGACACCTTGTACAATATAATTTTATAATGATTGTTTTAATGCTCTGTATCACAGTAGACATATGTAAGAAACTAAATATAATGCAACCATCTCCTTTAAAGTCAAATACATTTATTAATTTGTATTGCAGGTTAACGCAGTTTATGTCGCTCACCTATCTTCGTCCAGAAATGTCACTAAAGTCTGGGAGACCGTGTATGGCATTTATTTTATAGTTTTACTTTACAAAATATGTTTTTATTGTAATAAAAAAATAATTTCACAATTACACTCTTTTATTTTACATTTTTGCAAGACGGAAAAGTAAAATACGGCCCTGCTCAATTTTAGCGTCCACCTGCTTCTGTTTACATCAGCCGTAAATTAAATTTGAATAGACTTTAGTTACTTTTTTAGTTATTTTTCCCTGTGTAAATAGGAATTTTCAATTCGTTCCTCTTAGTTTAAAAACAAAGTATAGTTAATTACATCATTTGACAAAGCGACGTTCTTAAGAATAACCAGCTCGTTTACTGTCATCGGTCCCAACCAATATTCGAATAGACCAGTCGATTACAGCACATCAGCAAGCGCCGTTCATCTGATTAACGAATTTGTCGACTTTTTATCTATTCAACTAAAATAAATCATCACGTCGGTTTTACTGCGCTACATGTTACCAAATGAAAATTAAAATTAAAAATGCAGCGTCTAAAGTCTATTCAGATTTCATTTACGCCGCGTCAAAACAATTTCTCCCATCCAGCAACAGCTCACGTGACATTTTTTGCGCTTCTATTGGTTAATCGGTCGTTTGTCATTTAGACGTCGCGCAAATATTTTTTGTCAGAGTCGAATTCAGTTCAATTTGGATAATTATAAACGGCGTTTTGGTAGCATTCACCGTGTTGGTTAGTTTGGACATTTTGTATGTTTGATTGATTATAATTCATTATATTATAGTTTAGATATACATATATTGTGTTATTTATTTTTTTTGTTGTGGTTGTTGTTAGTTTGAACATGTTTTACTCTATTTTATGGACATTTAATTGACTATATTTTGTAATTGCTGCGTGACACTATGTCCTCCACAGATAGAGCAGATAAAGTCCAGAAAAATGTTTTTACTCCTTCTAAAAAGCGACTGAAAAAAGGACATTTGGTCATCCGTACTAAAGAAATGGTTCTTAATATGTATAAGCATTAAATTTTATAGAACCCTGATATGTTGGTACATGATGTTGAAAGGAGAGCTGTTGATAAAACAGGGATGTGCGCTAAAACCGTTTTTAATGCAGATTCATAAATTTTCTGAACCAAAAAGAAAGCTACGTTATAAACAAATTAGTGGTCTGTAGATGATTTTGATAAAAATGCAAGATAGAAGTACATCAATGCTTCTTTAGAAATTAACTTCCAACAATTGATAAGGTTTTATAAGAAGTCAACGATGATCCATATTTGTCTACTTTTAAGCGAGCTACATTTTACAAGCTTTTCAAAACCCTTAATTTTAAATTTAAAACTCGAGGAAAAAATAGTTTGCTTTTAGACAAAACTAAAATTGTTTCGTCCTACGCCACAAAACATAAAACGGTACAGAGAAGAAAAGCAAAAAATATATTATCTTGATGAGACTTGATGAGAAAGTATGTTTCGATATGTCGGTTTTTTCATCCAGACAAGCCTTCTTGGATGAACTATTAACTGGTTTTAAAAACACATTAGGTATGTGCGTAAAAACAGCTCATTATATGCCATATTGGAAGTGAAGAAGGCTTTGTCTCTAATGCACTTTATGTATTTGAGTTGAAAAATCCGGTGACTGCCATGAAGAAATGTGTGGAGAATCGTTCAAAGAGTGGTTTTCAAACACTCTACCAAAATTAGAAGATAACTGCATTATTATTCGAGAAAGCTGAAGAGAGAAGCTAAAAATAGCTATTAGGGAAAAAAATTGAATTCGACTACCAAATGCTTAAGATCCAACTTCTAAAACTTGGTAAGCAACATAAACATTATGATAGGTATGTAATAGATGAAATGGCTAAGCAGCAAAACATATAATAGTTCACATGTCTCCGTATCATTGTGAACTTAACCCTATTGAATTAATCTAGGTTGACGTTAAACAATACGTAGCAGATAAAAACTCAACATTTAAATCTGGAGACATTAAAATTCTTTTTGAAGAAGTAATATTATTAATTTCTCTAGAAAAATGGAAAAAGTGTATCGACCATGTTCGCCAAAAAGTTGAAGTAAAAATGTGGGAGTTGGATAATATTATAGAGGTTCAGGTAGAACCACTTGTAATTTTGATTAATGAAGATAGCTTTTCAAGTCTAACTAATTTATCCGATTCAGATTAGTGCTAAGTCAAGTAAGGAAGATTGCTATAATACAGGGTACAGGTTGTCTAATCTAAATACTAGTAGAACAAGAACAATAAAGAACAAAAGTTATCAAAAATACAAAAGGTTTCTTTTTAAGATGCACAATTTTAAATCAAATACCAAATTCAAATACCAAATACCTCTTATATTTAAAGTTTTTTTAATGATTTTAGTAGATATATATTAGCTATAAAGTATTTGCAATTATTTGGACACCTTGTACAATATAATTTTATAATGATTGTTTTAATGCTCTGTATCACAGTAGACATATGTAATAAACTAAATATAATGCAACCATCTCTTTTAAAGTCAAATACATTTATTAATTTGTATTGCAGGTTAACGCAGTTTATGTCGCTCACCTATCTTCGTCCAGAAATGTCACTAAAGTCTGGGAGACCGTGTATGGCATTTATTTTATAGTTTTACTTTACAAAATATGTTTTTATTGTAATAAAAAAATAATTTCACAATTACACTCTTTTATTTTACATTTTTGCAAGACGGAAAAGTAAAATACGGCACTGCTCAATTTTAGCGTCCACCTGCTTCTGTTTACATCAGCCGTAAATTAAATTTGAATAGACTTTAGTTACTTTTTTAGTTATTTTTCCCTGTGTAAATAGGAATTTTCAATTCGCTCCTCTTAGTTTAAAAACAGAGTATAGTTAATTACATCATTTGACAAAGCGACGTTCTTAAGAATAACCAGCTCGTTTACTGTCATCGGTCCCAACCAATATTCGAATAGACCAGTCGATTACAGCACATCAGCAAGCGCCGTTCATCTGATTAACGAATTTGTCGACTTTTTATCTATTCAACTAAAATAAATCATCACGTCGGTTTTACTGCGCTACATGTTACCAAATGAAAATTAAAAATGCACCGTCTAGAAAAAAGTAAGAATCCCCTTAAGGGCAGGCACAATATTTATTAGTCAGTTCTGGATCCTAAACGATCTGCGCATGCTCAGATGTCAAATTAAGAGCGGTGCTAATAGTGACTGACCTTAGTGAACTTGCAATATCTCTCTACTGTTTACTTACATGTGTGTGTTTATCGTGTGTTTTAGAGCCTAGTTCACATTCCGACATTTTGGCAAATTTTAGATTGTGATCGTGATTTTGCTTGCAACGTAGAAAACATAAACTACCATAAATTTTACCGTCAGAACCGCAAACAGGTTCAGCTACGTCCGGACACTTGCAAGTCGAATTGTTTTCCTCATCATATTCATCCGATTCTGAAGAGTCCGGCATGAAAGGATCCTCAATAATGAAAAAAATAATAAAATATAATATATTGGGTGTGATAGAAAGCTAAGTAAACTTGGATAGTTCTGAAAAGCACAAAAGATGCAATTTTTGTTAACTTTCTGTTAAAATTAAATTTTGACGGGACAAATATTAATTAAATTCATTTTGATACATACAATTCGGTTCTTAAAAGAATTACATGAACATGTATTTAGGTTATTTAAAAGTATTTTTTATATATTCGACAATTTTTTAAGTACTTTCATTAGTTTGACAGAAATTGTTCAATTGTTATCAGGAATATATATTTTCTTATATGTCACAACCATCTCTGTTATAAGAAAAATTGGAAATAATATTTTTATATATATTTTATCCTAGATTAGATAATGATCATTGAGATAAAACAAGTTTCGTTCGCCAAATAATGGCCAATTTTTGTTTTCAAATAAAAATAATCAATAAATAGATTTGTTTTATCACCTGTACTAATTCTAGTTGGATTTTAACGTATTTCTTTTAATCGTATTCTTAACATTTTTGCTTCGATCATTTTTAATTTCACTCTTACTGCGGACTGCAATACAATAAACTATACAACACATTTCGTGCTTTATGCAATAATGATCAATAATACCCTACTTGTATTATGTAGGTATAATAATAATTTTATCGAAATAAGTACAAAAAGTATAAGTCAGATTTTCTTGATTTCGTTTTTTTTTTTACTATAGTTCATGTTTATCATATAAATATATGCCCTAAGAATACAAGTCAATGCTGAGTATTTTTTACTGACGGTTTAGCATTGAACCTTTCAGTATAAGTCAAGTTCCATATTATCTGGTTTATATAAGAAGTATAAGTCAAGTTATATATACTGGATAGGATATAGCCCCCTAAAAAACGTTCCGAAAAATTGGCCGATTTGGGCAAAAAATATGGCGGACCGGATGTTATTTAACATAACCTCTATTTCCATTTGTCATCACATTTGTCATTTAATTGTGTCAAAAAATTACGATGACACGTTTTTTTTATTTATTTAGGTAGTACCGAATAGCATTATTATGATATAAACAATAAACGTTCATTCGTGAAGACACAATATGCTTCACGTTTCCATTTTTATATTTTCTTTCATAAAAAAATCAAATTTCAGGTGAATTGTCCCGAAGGACATTGCCCGCAGAAGGAATAGAAGAAGAATAAGAAGAAAAACTAATCAAATTATAGGTAAGGTATGTCAAATTATCCCAAAATTCAGTTCTGTGATCCCACCATAATTTGCCCAAATCGGCCAGCAGTGTTGCACTTCCGGTCTCCTTGGTGGAACGGATTTTTAGTGTATTAAATATAGCCTATATCCTATCCAGTAAAATAATCTGATCAGTGGTTAGGACCCATGTTTCTCACTGTTGGTTAGATAGCAGACCGCTGACTTGTACTATTGAGACTTTTTTATGTTAGCAGTCAGTCTAAGCTTTTATTATTATCAGTCTTGTCTTGTCACTCTTCGGCATGTTAGCTCTACTTATTTTGTTTGATTTTTTTCTCACCTAAAGTTTAAGTAGGTAATAGTGTTTCCAGTGAATTGTTGTATTATTATTTTTCGTGGTTAAGAGCAGGCAAGATGGCTTCTTTGAGCAGAGGCAAAAAAATGGTGAATATATGTGTTATGTAAGAAGATTGTTTTTTTACTACCTAAAACATTTTGTAAAATACTTCCAAAATCAAGTTTTGATAATCCATTTAACAAACAAAGTTTTATTTTATTTTCAGATAAAAAGCAAACAGAAGCTGATGTAAATTGTGTAGAGCATAATGTCAGTATTACTCATGAGTTTACTGAGAATGTTATTGTCGATGATCATGCAGATAAGTTAGTAAATAAGGGATTAATATATTTGAAAAGTATTTTTTCTTGCGAAAACAAAAGTGAAATGAAAATTATTATGAGTTCAAAATATTTTGTTTTTTTAAAGTACAATCCATGGTCCAAAATGAAAAAGACTTCTTGGGGAATCTTTACCTGTCAATGACTGGGGATATTAATCAATTAATTTTTTGCCATGATGATGAGGTTGGTCCAAGTAACATTTCGGGACAGCAAAAAGTTTATCTTGGTAAGACTTGATTTTCTAATAATTTTCTAGCCACAGGAGCCCAAAATAATATGTAGCTTAAAACGTGAAACTGTATATTTTACAGATTTGGACCATCAACAGAGTACTGTTTATGATGAAGGCCAACACACTCAACTAGTACAAGACATGGAAATAGCTGAAAGTGTTGGTCAAGAAACTGACAAAAGTAAGCATTTATTTCTATAGGCAAAAGAGGCTCAGAAAATACAACAAGTATCCTGTCTATTTTTTCCAACCTAAAACGTTAAATTGTCTGTATCTTTTACAGACTTGGACCATCAACAGAGTAATGTTTATGATGAAGGCCAACACACTCAACTAGTACAAGACATGGAAATAGCTGAAAGTTTTGGTCAAGAAACTGACGAAGTTAAGCATTTATTTTTATAGATAATTGAGGCTTAGAAAATGTAACAAGTATCCTAACTGTCTACTTTTTTCAGATTATAACCCTGAACAGGAGAGTATTTCCTCTGATGAAGAAATTTTCCATCAAACACGGAGTTCTAGCTCTAAATACGAAATAGATCGAAGAAACCACATTTAGAATAAAATGTAATCTAAGCTACACCTACTGACAGAAAATTTTCTAAAAAAAAAGAAGAATAGAAAAATATAAAAATCGAAATGCTGGGTAATACTATAAAACTCTTGACGAAAAAAAAAAAAACCGGCAAGGGCAATGACAGCTTTAACAATTTGCCGCGCCCCAAGTGCATGAAACGTATCCCCCCCTGAGATCCAGGAAGTTATTTTTAAAGAATATTGGCGCCTCCGAAGTCGAGATGAAAGAATGAAATTCGTTGCTAATTTAGTTCAATCAACTGAGCCTAAAGTTATTCGGAAACTAATCAATGATCCTGACAAAGAAAAATTTAGACAGTACACCAACACATTTTATTTTAAAATTAATAGGAAACTATCCAAGGTTTGCCGAGGTTGCTTTCAGAAAACTTTAGGGGAAACAAACATTTTCTTGACAATTGCTATTGCGTATGCCCAAAGATCAACCATAGGTATTTTGGAACCCAGTAAAAGAGGTAAAGACTCGCCTGCTAATAAACTTTCAGACAACACCATTCGAGCAATTTATAATCACATAAAATCCTTCCCCGCCTATGAATCCCACAACACCAGAAAAAAAAGCAAAACAAATATTTACCTGCTTACCTAAACTTGACAAAAATGTATGCACTCTATGTGGAACAAGTTAGAAACTTTGCCTCCAAATCAATTTATGAGCGTGAGTTTAAAACACTCAACATTTCATTCAAAGGGCCAAAAGCAGATACTTGTCACAAGTGTGATGTACTTTCTATGAAAGAAAGAGTAGCAAAGTTAGAAGATTAGTTAAAGTCTATACAAGATGAGAAAACTAAACATCAAGATGAGGCAGATTTGGTATATACTAAACAGCAAGAGGACAAACACCATTAAATGTTACGCATTTGACCTCCAACAGTGCCTGCCAACACCCTACTTAAATACGTCGGTGGCATTCTATAAACGCTAACTGTGGACGCTCAACCTAACTTTCCATGAAACGACAACAGGGGATGTAACTTGATTCATGTGGCATGAGACCTAAGGTGGAAGAGGAGCCAATCAAGTCGCCACATGTATTTTTAAACAGCTGTCAAGTTGGCCACAACAAATCAAAAAAGTCATTTTATATTCAGATTCATGTGGGGGCCAAAACAGAAATTCACGTCTCAGCAATGTTTTTAACGCTTTTGCAGCAATGTCCTCAGCTGGAGCAAATAGACTACAAGTTTATGGTCAGTGGTCATAGCCACCTTAAATGTGATGTTGATCATGGGATGATAGAGAAACAAAAAAACTTCTACAGATGCAAATTTTAGTTCCTCACGATTGGTACCAGTTAGTACGAGCTACTGGAAAAAAGAAAAAGTTTCAAGTGGTGGAATTAAACCACAAAGATTTCGTAAACTATTCCGACCTATATAAAAGCCATCTTAAACTAAAACAAAAAGATAGCAATGATAACTCCTTCAAGTGGACAGAACTGCGGTGGCTAAGGAACCGTCAAGAATTTCCAAAAAATATTTTTTCAAGTCTTCAAGAATTTCGATGTATGAATTTAGAAGGAAGGATATCACAAGATACACCCTTAAATCCGTTACTTTGCTATACATCTTCATTAGAAATTTCTAATGAAAGAAAGAAAGATATCTTGGCTCTTCTGGATTTACTAAGTCCAGATTTTCACAATTTTTATAAAAATCTAAAAACTACCAACAATGCCAAAAGCACATTGCCCGGCCTAGTGGAAGAAGATGAAGAGCTAGAATAAAATTTTGTTTTCGAATTTCAGCTTAAAGTAGCTATATCCTATAATTTTTGTTCATATTTTTAATAAAAAAATAATTAAAACCTGTTTATTTTTATATAAAAAAAATGTAGTTAATAAGTAGATAGATTATGAAAATCAAACGAGATTAAGAGTATAAGTCAATGGTGGTAGTCACCGATTTTCATATTTTTATTTTTTTTTGTTTAATAACTTTCAATAAAATAAAACATATTTGTCTTGCGCAAAACGTATATTAAATTACCTATAAATTTTATTCATACAAGGGAAAGATATTCAGAAAACTTTGGAGGCGTTTTCTGGAAAATCATTATATTTGACTTGTACTTATCTCGATAAAATTAACAAGAAGGGACATTTGTAAAAATATACTAGGTATACTTAATTGTAGATATTAATTATTAATTAAAACACTAAAATATAGACCGATTTTCACAGTCACCCACTGTATCAACAATATGTATTTAATGAGTAGAAAGTTTACTTACTTCATCAATTATTTCAAATTTTCCTTGTGTAATTGGTTTGTTTTTACACAGTGACTTTTTAGTTGGTCGTAAGTTCGGATCTACATCTTGATGACAACGCAAGTAACACATATTTATGTAAACATTACCATTAGTTCCACAAACTGGTTGATCTATTAGCGGGCAAATGCACGTATCTTCTATATCTGATTCCCATTCCCAAACTGATTCTGATTTTGACTCTGCTTCTGACTTCGATTCTGACTCTGGTTTTAATTCTGGTTCTGATTCTGATTTTGATTTTAAATCTGAGAGTGGTTCTGAATCTGATTCTGATTCTGGTTCTGACTCTGTTTCTGATCCTGTTTCTGATTCTGTTTCTGACTCTGTTTCTAACTCTGGTTCCGACTCTGATTCCGATTCTGGTTCCGATTCTGGTTCCGACTCTGTTTCCGACTCTGTTTCCGACTCTGTTTCCGACTCTGTTTCCGACTCTGTTTCCGACTCTGTTTCCGACTCTAGTTCTGTTTCTGTTTCTGATTCAAGTTCTGACTCTGGTTCGGACTCAGTTTCTAGTTCTGACACTGAATTTATTTCTGTCGAACTTTCTGGAAATGATTCTAGTTTTGATTCGAACTTTTGACTTGATTTTAAAGATTGCTTCCAACTCTAAAAATGTTATGTAGAAAATTTAATTGAGATCAAAAAGTACATGAAGAAAATCTTAAATTACATTAACACAATGTATCCCCTTGTTATTTAATATCCCTGTGGAAATGAATCTTTTTCTATAAGTTTTGACACCAGAAATAAGAAATTTCTTTTAGCTTGAATAGGCAATACCAACAATATTTCTTTTAATAATAATAATAATAATAATAATAATAATAATAATAATAATAATAATAATAATAATAATAATAATAATAATAATAATAATAATAATAATAATAATATATTTTGCGCGTTTTGTTTAGCATGCGTTTTATTAACCGTGCTTTTTGTTTTTTGATTATTGTGAGTTTTGGTTACTTTGCATAATAATTTACTGCGAGCCTTTAGGTCGTGTATTTTTATCTAATGTCCATAGTGGTGATAAGTAATAGCTATTTGTATTACTAGGGAGGAAAGTGTCACTTTTCCTCCCGCAGGATGAAGTTTACTGCCCGACGCGAAGCGGAGGGCAGTAAACATCCAAGGGAGGAAAAGGCACTTTACTCCCAAGTAATACATATGATTTTTCCGCCTCCCTCAAATAACAAGTCATTTTTAAATAATTTATATGAAACTAATAAACAAAGATTTATTAAAGAACTAAAATTATGAAGTAGTTATAGTGTAAATTATAGGCATGTTATTTTCATTCTTGCATCCTACATATTTTTAATTTGTGGTAGAGTAATTATTTTTCTGAGTAAGTACGAATATGCTTTTCTTCGGCCCATTGCTTGAAATGTAAATACTGTTTTTCGTATTTTTCTTTAGATTTTTGGGGTAATAGAGATTGAACTGTTGCATTAACCTGTTCCAAAATATCCGGTGGTGTTATTATTTATATCTTTAAATTCGCTTGAATCACTCATTTTTTAAATATTATTTTATATTTTGTAGATATATTATAGCGTAACACACTTTAAAACTGATCTGTCAATCGACCATAGCATGCTATAATATTTCTGTCCTAAATTCGAAAATCGGATGAATCTATGAATTGAAGTCAAATTATTAATGTAAAAATCGTTAAATTAAAATAACAATTTACTGATTTTTACTATTTTGCAAAATACAGGGTGTTCTATAAATAAACGGTAAATTCATACTTATAGAATATAGTTTAGGTCGTCAATGCCGTATAAGCTATTTCATTTATGACATACCATGACGTCACTTTTACTTTTCCTCCCTAGGGAGTAAAAGAACTTTTCCTCCCTAGGAAGGAAAAGTATGACTTTGCTCCCTGCAATGAGGTCAGGAAATGTATACTTTGGATAGAGGTAGGCGGAAAAATGATTTTATCCTCATAGTTTTCCAAAAACCATGTTTGGAATAAATTAACGTCTGTTTATTCTAAAGACACTAAACCACTACTTACTTTTGTAGTTTCAAATGAATTATCTTCACTACTATATTCGTCACAGACAGATCTTGAGACTAAAAGTAGATTTGGAATTAATTTTTGCTGACAATTAAAAAAACACTCATTGTAATAGATATTGCCATCAGATCCACAAACCGGTCCCAATGTTTTTTCCAAACAATCGCAAGTGTCCAACGTCTATAAAAGAGAACAATTTTTTTACAGTCAAGAATTTAACAAATATGTTAGATGGATTTGTATTTAAATTTATGTACCGGGTGTTCCATTAAGAATTTCGTAAAATTTGTCAGTTTTTAACTTAACGCCCTCTAGCGGCGTTCATAAAACGTAAGCAGCCACAGTTTATAAAGCTAAAACTGAGGCTGAAAAAGCTCTTCTAAACAAAACCATGTTCACTGAATTCGGTAAAACCAAACCGGAGTTATGATCATTTTTCCAAAGTAAAGTTTAATCTTCCACCACCACTCTATTTCACAACTGACAAAAATTACATCTAAAGCTTTTTTGTTCAGAAAACATTGAAGATTAAAATAGTAATATTTATCAATATACCTACTTTATTCGATATTTTTTTGAGAAAATTACATTTTTATGTTTTGACGTCACAATTACGCCCCCTAGCGGCCACCCTACAAACTTGAAAATAATTTCCAGCAATTTCTCTTGGCCGTTTTTATTAAAAATATGTTTTCCTCAAAGCTGTACTATTATTAGTTTCTGAAATATAACCGGCTACCTCTCTTAATGGAACACCCGGTACGTAAAAAACATGTTCTACCTAAAAGTAGTAGTATAGTATAGTATTCAGCTAGCATCTGCGGTTCTTGTTGTAAATTTCATCTTAGTGTGTAATAACCAGTAATATCCATCATTATACGATTGTTCAATAATATACTGTTTAATTATACAGGGCATTTCAGAATGCGATGTACATACGTTAATTGTAGGTGTGAGATATATAATGAGAATATATAACGTAGACGAATCGGGGCTGTCTACTGTGCAACGTCCTCAAAAAATATTTTCCACAGCAGGCAGAAAGCAAGTTGATGCTGTTACGAGTGCCGAGAGAGGAAGTCACGTAATTGTGGTTTGTTGTATGTGTAGCAACGGGAGTTTTGTTCCACCAGCATTAATTTTCACAAACATATGAAAAAGGACCTAATTGATCATACTCCATCAGGAACTCTAGGCATACCTCAAGAATCTGGATGGATGACCGAGCCAATCTTCCTAGATTGGTTGAAACACTTCCAAAAATATGTGAAGGCTTCCCTAGATGAAAAGGTTCTTTTAATTGTGGATGAGCATTCAAGCTACAAATACCCGGATGTCCTTATTTATGCCAAAGAGCAGGAAATTGTGCTTCTATGTCTACCTCCACACTGCATACACAGAATGCAGCTACTGGACGTATCATTTTTTGGCCCATTAAAGGTTTATTTTGACCAAGAGATAAGCAAGTTTCTTAAAACACATCCCGGTAGAGTCGTCACGCAATTCCAAGTAGGCGCTTTATTCAATGAAGCATATGGAAAATCAGCCACTGTGCAAAATGCAATTCATGGTTTCGCGAAAACTAGGATATGCCCAATAAACGCTGAGGTTTTTCCAGATTATATGTTCCAGAAACAACAAATATTTCAGTCACTGCTGAACCACAGCCTGAAACAAGTACAGAAGATATTCCCACACCAAAACCTTCAGAAAATAATTCTATTATTGTTGAACCTCAGCCTGAAATGAGCTAAGAAGATATTTTCCCTTCAAGAAATAATGCAAATGAAATGTTAGTTTGGCAGAATTAAGTCCAATGTCAGTTGGGTCATTTGTTTCAGGACAAGGAAAAAGAAAACTCAGAAAACAACAAGGATCGAATATTTTAAATTCTACTCCCAATTTAGAGGAAGCAAAAGAGAAGAGCAGACTAAAAAATACGGTCTCAGAAAAAACTGAGAACGGTGACCAAGCAGTTGCCTATAATAGAGACTGACTTAGACGAAGAGCCATTTTCTGAAGATAAAGATGATTACTCATTTATTTACTGCACAGAGCAATACAAAAGGTCCAGACCTGGAGAAATATGGCTTTAGTGTCGCTCTTGCTTGCTGTGGGAACATGATGATTGTTCTGGGGTAGACAAGAAAACTATAGCTTTTATTTGTAAAATTTGTACTAGTGATTAAAAACCTTTAAAAAAGTGTGTGTCATTTTACCAGCATGGGTGGGTAAAATGATTTTTTCGCTGTTCTGTGTTTATAATTTTATAAATATAATATTATTATTTTGTTAAAAAACGGTTAAGTAAAGTTAACGGGTTAACCTTATGTTTAATTAATGAGGAAATTATTTTTTTTTTATTTTTTAATGGAAAAAATAAGATATTTTGTATACCTTTCCCCTAAACCCGATGAATTTCTTTAGATAATAAACAATGCGTGCGAATAAATACGAAATAAACCCGAAACAATTCGAACCGAAATCCAAGAAATTGTAAAAAGGACAACAATATGTATTCAGCAGAATGGTTTTTATTTTGAACAATTATTTGGTTAGAACAGATTATTTTATTAATTTGGTTTTAATTGTTTCAAACAGTTTATTTGTGAAATAAAATTAATCATTAATTTTTTTATAATTATTTTGTTTCCTGTTTACAAAAAGAATATACCAAAATTAAAGCCTGTTAATGTTTGTTATTTATTCAAAATACCTTTTTAATTTAATTTTTTTTTTTTCATTAAACAGGGTATTTAAAAATAAATTTAAAACATTATTGGTTTAGCTAACTACAGTCCTGAAATTTAGTTCTAACAATAAACCTAAGATTGAAATAGTGTAAAATTTAGATATTTCAAAAGTACTTACTTAAAAAGTAATAGTTTTCTTGCCTTTATCATCAAGAAATAATTTTTAAATTATAAAGGTAACAAATTTTTCAAAATATATTTTTTATCAAAAAATTAGTATCTCTAAAACGACATGCGTAAATTTCAAAAGACACCTACCTAAATTGATTAGTTCTGCTCTTTTGAGATATTTAATCAGACATCCTAAATTTGGCTATACAGGGTGTTGTTTTTGAAGCGGAAAGAAATGGTAAAATTTTGTTAAGCCGGACCTAGATACTAAATATTGTTTTTATGGCATTATTTTGTTAAGATGAGTCTACCTGCCAAATTTTTTATACCGAGTGGTTGTTGAGTTTTGTTTAAAAACAAATTCAGGCGAAAGTTATAAAACACCCTATATCTAGGTAACGAGATGTGATAGTATTGAGATAAAACCACAGCTTATACAATACAGCTAAAACACTCTCTTGGCGGCAACGGTTTGCGTCGATTTCGTCGCGTATCGCTTAAGCTCCGCCTTCGGAGGGAAAAGACGGTTTTGGCGTTCAGAAGCGTACTTAGGTAAGGTGTTGAGTCCTGCGTATAATTTCGTTGATTGTATAATTTCGTGGAGCCTATAATTTCGTTGATTTTCTTTGAGTTAAAGGTACTGTTATTATTTTGGTGACTCTTTAGCTGTGAGTAGAATGAGTGAAAAAAAAGACATCATTCTGTTTGTGCAGTCAAAAGCTGTTTTAATAGGGTTATACCTGCAAGAAAACATTCTTTAGTTTTCCCAAGGACCCAAACCGATAAGTATCACATTATAAGAAATTTTCATTGTTAAAAATATAATTTATACAGGGTGTTCCATTAGTGCGTTATTGTTCATTATTTTGTTGTAGACACGCAAAAAAGTTTTAAATAAAAGTTATATGGATTTAAAAAATACCTACATATTTTAAAAATATCTTTGGATATACAGGGTGTCACGTTTTTGTCTGGCAAATTAAAATGTATGTTTTTTAAATGGAACACCTTATATTTTATTTTATGATGAAATTATTAACACCCTAAATTATTGTAAAGACGAGTTGCTACAAAAAATTTTTATCAGGTATGTGTGTGGTTACCTTTTAATTAAAGCCTTGCAGATATACTCCTGTGATACCTGTCTTAAATATAATAAAGATCACGTTGAATTAGATGATTTTTCTTTTTATTGCTTTTTAAAGGCATATGATAACGCCAATTCAGATACATTTGGAAATCTGCAACTGTCAAATGATGAATTTGTAGAACTTATATTCAATATTGAAAAGATATTTCAAAATAATTTTGAAGAATTGGCTACAAAAAATAACATTTGTACCACACTTTTAGAATTAATTAACCCAATACCTTTTAGTCATCCATGTTAACGTTTTACAAAAGAATAACCTATTTTAATGTATGTTTAATCTCAATAACTAAAAAATATACTGACAATTAGTTTGACAGAATTGTCATTTATTTAAAATTTTAAAAATAATAGCAGTCGGTTGATCAAAATATGAACGGTGATTGGCGAATTTATTTTTTTTGCAGTGTTCTCACTACCTAGAATGGATATGAAATATATTCGTTCAATTGAAGGCAATAGCATACTTTTTCGTTTTGTAATCTGTGCATGGATATTAGCCAATCTACGAACATACTACAAAACGAAAAAGTAAGCTATTGCGTTCAACTACGAATATATTTCATATCCATTGAGACTGAGAACACTTTAACAAAATTAAATCTACAAATCACAGTTCATATTTTGGTCACCCAACTCCTATTATTTAAATTTTTTTAAATAAGTGACAATTCTGTTAAACTAATTGTCAGTATATATTTTAGTTATTGATATTAAATATACATTAAAATTTTTGTGTAGACTCGATAAATATTAGCATTTTTATTGTGTCCACATTTAAAAAAAATAAATTTTAATCAAACTACATGATACTAATTTAATTACGAGTATTAAAACTAAAGTCCTGAAAGTTTCGGTGAAGATGAGGATAGAACATCTGCCTTCCACGCGAAAAGCCCGGGATCGAATCTAGGCCAAGGACTAATTAATTTTTCATGTTTATTTTATTTTATAAATTAGTTAACTTTATAAATTATTTTAAAATTAGTTATTTTGTCTAAATAACCTAAAATAATTTTTTAAATTTGTAGATTTTCGTTAGTGGGTCGTAGAAAAAATATACTGACCACATCGAGTGGATTGTTCATATCACAATCAGACGATTGAGTACTCCGCCTACGACGTCGTGCTCAAACTTCGTCTTTGTGTGATATGGCTATTATATC